TTATTGTTTCTTGCCTTGTACCTTGACCTTGTGCTCTCTGATGTCCAATGATATTAACCCCTATGAATAGTGACAGTCAATAGGCCAATGGCACTCTTCCCTTGCGGGCGGACTCTTGTCAAAATATGGGGTGCCGCACAGTGTGATAAGAACTCTTACATCAATACTTTTTAGCCGGATTTCTTGAGCTCCAACTAGCCGAACAGTTAAGGCACAAACTTACTGTGTTCGTGGTTCCAACCCAGTAAGTTTTCGCCTTTTCAGTGCTCCTGTCTAGGCTTGGACAGCCTGGCACTATCTCGGCCCTCGTGCTTCCTTCGGGTGACATCACAGTTACGTACGCGAAATTTGTTACGGCTGAACGATATGACCTGAGGTTTCTTTACAATACCGTGTAAACCAACAAACTGAACCAACATGTTACCGTGGTAAGGTAATTTGACTGAAGCCATAGTCCCCGCTTATGAAGTGTTCTGAATACAATGTTCAGCGTAATACCTGGGTGCAAACATATCAAGAAGTAGGATTCGCTTGGAACCTCCATCCTGCCGACCCAAAGTGCTAAATCGATTCATGTAATAGCCTTCTTGGAGGAGATCTTTTGCGAACCTAGAAAGTTTGTCATGGATGCTTCTGTAGGCAAATTACCGTCTAAAATATGAAATGCCTATCTATTACAATCTAAGGTAGTCGCGTCTCTGGATAGCAGTTTAGCGAGAAATCACAGCTTCCAGTCTGTAAGTAACAGTGACCAACCTGTGACGCCTTGTAACGAACAGTGCACTTCCTATCCAAAGAATGAAATGCTCGTTAAAAAATTCCTCCACGCTGAGTATCACATGAACCGCCGATACCGTCCTTTTGGACAAGTGGGGTACCAGAACTTACCTTGATACCCTCAAAAACGCGAGCTGGACGTTTACGTCTGCTGGGTCACTTCCGTTTGAAAGCCGTATGTGTGACAGCAACGCGCTTTCATCACCTGAGTCCGTTGAATCCGGTCAACCTTCTCGATCACACTACCTAGCCATCTGCAGTTACATCCGGCAATAGTGTTCAACAGCCAGCTGCCAGCAGCGAACACATGTTTTAACTGCTAGGGTACATTGCTCTGCGAAAAGTGAACAAGTATTTTAAACTATCAAGCTGGATGTTCAGTCGATGGACAATGAACAAGGGGGAAATGAAGGATAAGAGCAAGAAACCAAGGTAAGTAAATGGATGGCTTTACAAGCATTTATTTTTGTTGCCTAATCACCTTTGGGTTAGTTTAGCAAAAGCGGCTGCCACATTTTCGGGAGATCTGAGTTATTTTCGTACGGTAGTTACAACCGCTAAACTTGTCATCATGAATGCACTGTGATTTGCTCCTTTTCTTCCAAGTTTAGACCCTATATAGAAAGTGCTGTAGCATGATCAACACTGTCAGTTCTGGTGACACCAATGAGGCAAACGTGTGTCTTACATTTATTGTAACTTTAAAAAACCGTTTTGCATTGTAACACGATGAGAACCCAGAAGCTGACACTATAGGTCTGCCACCGTTTGCGAACAACACGGACACTTGAATATTGATCACACTCTGCCGGTTAGTGTCCAAACTACTTTTACCGATTTATAAACGTTATAATCTTTTTTCTATATTGAGAATATCCGAAATGTTTCGGTCTCATTGCAAGCAAATTCATGTAACGTTCATCTGTGAGAAAACAAAAAAGTATGACAAGCCGCAAGAGTCATTCAAAGGACTTAGAGTCTATTCTGCATTATAACTGTTGCTGGCCGTTGGAGACCGACCGTCCATGAGAACTGATTTTGCTCTCAATAGATACTGTGAGGGTTCCTGACAATACACTTTTTGCACAAATCGAACACCATCAAAACCAAAGGGAAAGTCGGACCCAAGTGAGGAAAACAAATTCATTCACAAAATCCATTACAAGGATTATACCGAACGCCACGTGAGCAAAGTGAAAGAGATTTATCAATCGGAATCAACGAGTATAAACGTGCTACTAGAAGCAAGAGCAACTTTCGCTCGTCTCCGTACACAAATGGCAGACGATACACAAATTCGATTGGAACAATTTCAGCATGTTGGGTCAAGCAAGGACAAAGAAGAAAGCGAATTTAAGCGAGTCTGTCAGTCCATCGATAAGGCGATAAAAGAGCACAAACAGGTTGGCCTTTTCTGCCAACACAAACATCTGAGACGTACAAGGAATCAAAGAAGAAATCAACAGGTTCAAAATAAAAGGACGAGTTAGTTAGACTGGAAAGTTATAACTTCAGACCATGGAGAAAACAATGAAAGCCGAAAAGAACAAAAAGGTAAATAAGCTGGAACTGGAGAGAGGGAAGTTGTGTGTGAGAGAACAGACTGCAAGTTGTGAACAGGCCCATGGGAATAAGAAAGCAGCAACCACCAAGAATGGGAGGCCAACAATCAACCAAACACATAACAAGAAAGCGGATCACGACGCACCACCAACCGTAAACGGACCTATCAAAACGTGGGGCTGATGAGAAAAAATCACGGTAACTCATGGATCAAATGAACAGAATATATCCAAAGCAGATAAAGAGAGGACCATTCAGGTCACGAATAAGCTAGTTTTTGAACAGACGCTCAAGTAAATGTCGCAAGGTGCTCATTGAAACTACATAAACTCAAGCATCAGGAGTGAAATTATCCGTCTAAACTCAAAAAGTGACGAAACTTCAGCATGTAAGGTCAGCCGCCACGTGATCAACAATCAACTTCGCCTACCTGATGAACCACAAGGAGGGCCATGCCCGTAAATTGTTGTCCAAGAGTTTTCAGTGATCTTATTATTATTGATCCACCAAGACAATTTTCTGCGATAAATCAAACCAAACATTGTATATCAAATTCAATTGAACAACATCACAATGGCAAACTCAACCAAATCTCTTGTTCAACTCCAATGTAATCTTCAATTGAGTGGAATTTGGGAATAATTGAGGTTGTTAAATTTGATGAAACAGATTATCTCATCCTTGTTTGAAATGATTGCGAGTTTGTCCAGAATCCAATTACCGTGAATGCCCTTTTATTTCCAAATGCAGCAGAACCAGATGTAGCGCACATTCACGGACATTTTGCCGAAATGGCATCAGCCTGATATGATTGTCGAAAAGTTACTTCGGTATGGCTTTCGTTCTTCTGACATTCCCAAATTCTTCGAATTTTCCAATGTATCTACACTAATCTCGCTCGATCATTTTCTCCTGCGATTTTGTCACCTCGCTGGTAAATTTCTGGGTGAACTACTCGCTCACAACATGTATTAGTGGAGAGGGGCGCCAACTTGACTGTCTTGTACGTCAAATGAGGTGAGTTCAAATCTTACCAAGATGGGGAATATGCACTGTAGATTGACTCCAGTGAGAATGAACTTGACTCGAATGATCCCGCCAAGACAGGACTAGCCGCAGGGAGCGGTGATGTTTGTGAAGCACTGAACCTTTTTCTTTCAAACCACGCGTACCTGTTTGTAGCTTCCGGGGTAATGCTATGAGCTGCCACAGTGTAGGTGGTTTCTACGCTAGGACCAATCAAAATGGGCAAACTTCTCTTGTTACTCACTTCAGCTTAAGTAGCGCGAAATGATCCGTAAATTCTGCACACTTTCCCCAAGGGCCGGCAGATGGTAGGTTTTGCACTCTGCGTTTTGACCGTAACTAAACTACTGCCTGATGCGCAACGGGAGCAGGTAATTTAAGATAAGCTCAATACACATTAAAGATGGGTACGATAAACTACCTTTCTTGTAATTAGATTGTTTCCGAGCGATGAAGGCCTAAGACCTTGCAGTCCATGTTGCATGCATCTGTTCATGCTATAGTCGTTCCCTGGATTCTCAAGTTTCAAAATGACCAAATACATCTTCGTCCATTACCAAATCTGATCCAACATCCTGATACCTTTTTGCGCGCAAGTTAGTTTTAGACTTGCACCATTGCTCTATTGCATTGCTCTATTAGATAAATCTACCAAAGAGAAAACCGTAAGAAACTCAAAGAAACACTGAAAACTACTGCCCCACAGCCAATTGGTTTCGTTAGTAGGTCCAACGATATCCAAAAAGGATCATTGTTTTTTCTTGTTTTCAAACTAACAAAAGAATGTAGTGGGCTTTCCTTCGGTTTGCTGAATGCACACACAGATCACTACGATGGTCAAAGCCCCCTTTAAAAATGACTTGATTGTCTTTGTTGTACTACGGAGAAAGTAATATGGAAGGCGCACGCACTACCACTGACTTCACCTCGAGGGACAAGAGTCTTGAGTAACTCAGTCGAATATGATGAAGATAAGGGATACGGGACCAGCGCTTGGAAAATTCCCACCGTGGAATGCATGGACACCTAGGGACGAAAAGTGGAAGAAATTAAGCATCAGTTTAAAAGTCAGTCAAACATCCGACTGTTTGTTAGGGATCACCTGTTTTGCAGAGGTGCCTGTGAAATGTTACGAAGATAAGAACTGCCACCGCTGTTTTTTCTAACCCCAATAAATGTACTCAGCGCTTTCCAGTAATATGGCTGGTTTCTTGGCCTTCATGTTCACGAACACTGTCTTCAGAAAACTGTCACATCTCAGACTAAGGTCGCTATTTATTTTACACGGGACAGTCACATTGATTTTTCTCTCCTGCACACACACGGAGTTCGCCGTTGGTTCAACCCGTTGGTCAGTGGTCGAAGGGAGCAATATGATTTACGGGACAGTCACATTAATTTTCTCTCCTGCACACACGCGGAGTTCGTCGTTGGTGGTCAGTGGTCGAAGGGAGCAATATGATTGGCTGCGAATTCAACGAAAACCTCCGAATGTGCAAAAGCATGCCTCCACTTCTAATTCGAAGGAAATACCGCTGAGTAGACTGTCACCGAAACGCATTCTGCAAAGAAAGCTAATGGATGATATCCCACTCCATAAATCAACAAGCCATGATCCGAAAGCAGCTGACCGAAGTCCACTTAACTTTTTTGTAGTTCGGTGAAGGGAAAGTGTACTAATTAATTCCTCGAACCATTGGAGCACCAAATAGGAAAAGTAGGGAGTGTTTGTCGTTTCAATACTTGTCTGGTGCCATTAAACGTCACGGACGAAGGTGTCTGCGTGACCAAAAATATTTTGAATTACCTCGAAAAACTGCATCTTTATTCTCTCTGCTTGTTTATTTTGACGAGTTAGGTAAGTCGGATTCATCGATTCTCATACTCCTCATGAATTCGCAATCTTCGGTGTTGGTATATCAGCTGTTTACGGCTTTGATCCGCTTGTCCTACTGTTAATCAACCGGATAATCAGCTTCACTTACCAAGGAGACTAACTAAAATTACCACTGTAAAACAGAAATATATTTTTCGCCAGTCTTTCCAACGATTGACCCCACTTCACCGATTATTGGACAAATTTACACCGGCTTTGTGGATGAGTTTATCAGTCTTTGGCTGGTCTTATCTAACAGTATGCATTCACTGACGCACAGATGTTCCAGGGAGGTTTTTACAGGATCCCACTTTGCGAGGGACTGGATGACTCCCCGGAATACTGAACTGCATTGTACCTTCAGGTGATAGACGCTAACTAGTCAACAGCACCAGCCAACTAGATTCACCATGTTGGAACCGATATAAGCGCAGAATCACACATTTACTTCCTGGTTACGTTAGTCACCTGCGCGCATGCCTCAGTCGTAAGAAGACAATTACATCACATATGCAATTACTGCGTGAGCCTATTTTACGAACCACAAACGAACCTCAAGCAGACTTGCAATTCAGAGTCTGCCTTTATAATTTTTTGTCCAAATAGGAGCATTTTTTTATCAAAATGCCTCCCAACGTTCTCACTCTTAGACACGAAAATCAAGCGTACTATCACAACCATGGAATTCGCGACCAGGCGTTGTTCTCGTTTATGTTTGTGTTTTCATCGGAAGCTTTTCGACACACCAACTTGGTTTTCTACAAAGCCAAAAGATAAACACCCGGTGATGCACTCGATTGACTGTAGGTCAACAAGGCTGCATGAGTATCTGACAATTAATTTGTTTGGAGTACACATTGTAACCCGATATTAGCACCAAAGTTGAGTGGAGCACAGTGGTCAGATAGCAGATTAAGTTGATGACCATTAGACGCACAATGCTCTCAGGTGCGAAACCCTTGCGAGT